TAAAATATTATTTAAAACAACTTAGTTCCTGGAGAATTAAAAGACATTTTATAAAACCCCTCATTTAAATTGTATTAACTAGAGCTGGGGTTGTGGCTCAGCGGTAGAGCGCTTGCCTAGCATGTGTGACGCACTGGGTTTGAGTCTCAGCACCGCATATAAATAAAGGTCCTTCTACATCTTAAAAAAAAAAAAAAAAGCGTTAAACAGGGGCTGGGCTTGTGGCTCAATGGTAGAGCACTTGCCTAGCATCTGTGAGGCACTGGGTTCGATCCTCAGCTCTACATAAAAATAAAATAAAGGCACTGTGTCCATCTATAACCAAAAAAATATTTTTTAAAAAAACTGTATTAACTACACAGAACACAATCTTGTATGTTAACCTAAAGTCTGAATATCAACTACATATGTGGCGTGAAATGGCAAGAAAAATAGGAAGAAGTAACCATTTCAGTATTTTTTTTTTTTTATTAACACTCTGAAGCAACTTACTGTATACTATCTGTGAGGATCATTTTTAGGAAGTACCAAAAAAAAAAAAAAAAAAAAAAAAAACCCCAAAATGTAAGCATTCACAGTTATAGGGGCCATTTCTCTAATTTCAATACCATATTAAGCTCAAAATACCAAAAAGTCCACTTATGTTCATTATGAGAACCATACACATTTGTGCATGAGCATGTTTGGGGAAAAAAAAAAACATAAAAGAATTGTGGTAGTTGTCTTTTCACATTTATAGACAACATTAGATGGTAAACCTACCTCTAAATTCATCAGCAATTCAGAATCTGCTGCTGATATGCACCACACCCAGTAAAGCCCTAAAGCTTGCCAGAAAACACTTTACCCAAGAAGCCCAGGCTCTTTGCCACACCTTGGGAAAGAAATCAGACTGTCTCTTCATATCCTCAGGCCCTGGGAAGGGAAAGTTCATATGCACCACCTGATTTAGGAATGGCCTCTCCTGCCAGTCTTTCCATAGGAAGAGGCTTCTTCAATAAAAGTTAGGATGAGAAATACCTTTTAGGCTAAATTTCAGTATCAACAATAGTGTGGAGGATCAAAATCTAAGAAAAAGAAAGTAGAAGGAGAGAAGAAAGGAGGGCTTACTTAACCTCATAGGATAAGAATGTGTGTACTATATAGTCTTCTTTAAAACATCAACTGCCTGATAAAGAACTTTGTGTGCAAAAGTAGATGAAGAAATAAGTGAGATGAAACACAGAGCCTGCTAGAAAAGAAAAAACTGCAGATGGTCATCAAATACAAAGATTTCAACATTCTCTGGCTCATTCTAAATCACATCCTGGTCTCCATTTCAAATTCTTTGTTAATGCATAGAAATTAAGCAAACAGCAAAAGATGTGTCTAAACAACTCTGATCTTGTCACCCCCTGCTTATACATTTCAGGGAAAACCTCTCTACCATACTTTCAGGTAAAACTCCAAAAATATTCAAGTCCCTCCACACTCTGTAGCCTTGTGGAAGCACTTTCACTTCTTAAGAGTTTTGGTTGCACTAGACTTTGTCATTCCAGAAAGTCATATACCGTTTCTTGCCTTAGACCTGCCTGGGCTGCCTCTACTGACTGGGCTCATCTATCAAAATTTAACCCTATACCACCTGCTCCATGATATCCTCAGCAACCCTTCTACAAGAAAATATGAGGACTCTGTACCTCTCTTGTAGCCCTTACTACATTCTACATCACAATATGGTTAATTGAGAATAGCTCCATTTCTTACTATATAGCGAACTCCTTAAAAGTTAGGGATGTTGTTAAATTCATTTTATTATCCATCACAGTGCTAAATAAAGGGCTACATGTAGTTAAGTGCCCAAGGAATGTGTAGTAAATTAAACCTGTTACCAATTCTCCATATTTAGCTATGAAATGTGATGGTACAATGATAGACTACTTCTCCATTTTTAGTAGCCAATAAAGTACCATGAATGAAGATAAAGACAAAGCAAGCACTATTTCTCAGCATGCACTCCTAGACAGGCTTAAGATGAGACTGCTTGTGCCAGGGGGACATCCCTTTCAACTATCTCCCAAGTCACACCCTAAACTGAACTACAAGGCCAAGAAAACAGGCCTAGACTTGTTTAAAAATTGTTTTGCTTGTGCTGGGTCTTTCTTCAGAGGCTCAAACTCTATAGAGATCTCCAGAAAAACTAGGTTGATGCAGCCAGTCTCTCTCTATCATAGATCAAGGAAAGATTAAATTATTTACTTAACAACAACATTTGCATTGGAGCATTAGATTCACTAGAGTAAATCAGGGTAGCTAAAGTTCTGAGAGCCATTTTATTATTACTATTTTTTTAAAGATATGCCTCTCTTCCCTATTAGGCAACATGAAGGTAACGTCACCAACCTCAAATACAGACTGCTGTTTTATGGACACAATAAGAGAAAGTGATATATCATTAGTTTCATTTTAAAAAGACAAGCAGAAAATCAGTTTTAGCTGTCCTTGAAAAATAATAAAAGTCCTTAAGAAAAAAAATGACACACAAAAAAGATATATTAATATATCTCTTACCTATGACACATGTTCAAAATCATATTAGGCATTACTTTAATTTGAAAACTATTTGGTATAATAAAATGCAATTATATAGATAGTAAGGATTAAAATGACTTCCAGCAGCCCTGTAACTCCTCGTGTTGAATCTCCAATCCATAAATTCAGACTATTTTTTAAAGATTATTTTCTATGACTTTTCTTTTTAAATTTTAAATATATTTGCCAAATCAATGCCTGAACTGGCTTAGTATCCTATGACTCAGCAACTCCCACAAAGCCAGACATTAACACTGAGTGCTTCCAAGGATAGGAAACTCATTATTCCATTCTCAGCCAAGATACATAGATAATGTAAAGTTCCATAAAGGTAAATGAAGAGTTCCAACAATGTCCAAAGCAGAAACTGCTTAAAATGAAAAATAGTATTTGAGGAAAGGCTCATGAATTTCCCTAAAAGCATTCTATTCTATTTACGATATAGTTACCAAATGTCCAATACAAGGCTGTTTTTAAAACAGTGGAGAAGATAAAAATAAGAATAAGGCAAGACTCTATACTTGAGGATTTTACAATAAATTTAACATTTAGAAAACAAATTAGCCAAGTATTATTACTTACACGATGTAGCAATTTTTAAATGATTACTATTCCACATGTTCAGAAATGATTTTCGTATAGTAATTAAAGTACAATCTTCCTAAGAAGTCATTGCTAATTATGACCATTTCCAAATTTTACCAACACCATCCTAAAGTCTCCTTGAAAATAAAAATTTTTCTCCTAATTTTAAGATCTGAAGAAAAAAATAGCCACAAGCTTCACAAATTATTAAGTGAAATTTTAATTTTTAGTATTTAGCATCATTCCATAGCACTTTAAAAATTAATTTTTATAAATGTAACAAATATAAGCAAGATCTATCAATTCACTTTTGTTTACGAAGAGCAGTAACATAATTAGCTATTGCTCATAATTAGCATGCATAGTCTAATAGTAAATATATGGTTATGTGTGCTAAAAGTGAAACGTATTGTCTTTTAGGTTGAGGCTTATATACCAAATCACCAGACATGATTTATACCTTAGTCTCACGACCCATCATATATTCAAAAAGCACTTTTCGCAGATACTCAAACTCAGTAGGTTCTCCCAAGAGTGAGACATCCGTATGGTACAAATTGCTACCTGTCAAATAAAAGACAGTTCAAATTGTAAAATCAAAACAGGATAAACTACTTGCTACTTAGAAAATAGACACATTAAAAAACAATCAATTGTACAAAGAGAGACACTGAGTTTAAATTAATTGTACTGTATACACGTGAACACACTAAACATCCTAACTGGTATGTTGAAAGAGAAAACAAGAATTATAACAATTCTAATTCTCCTATCTTTTTCTCCTCCTCCTGCTACTATTTAAAAAGACAATATAGCTAGTACAAAAGTTTCATAACATTGGTACTTCTCTTCTAAATATTATGTGGTTGGCTTCAGATGCTCTACAATGACTGAAATTAACATTTTTATTTTACAAAGGATTTAGTATCTCAGAACATATCTCTAGTTTTTTTTTTTTTTTTTTTTACTATTCCAATCTGAAAGAACTTAGTTTAAGTTTTCAAAACTATTTTGAAACATGGGATAGATAATCTGAAAGTGCATAGAATATTAATGCCATTACAGTTTGAAATATATTGATTTGACATCTTAAAAAGACTTAAAAAAAATCTGTTAATCAAGCTCTCCTTCAATCTAAAAATAAAGCACATAAGTCACACACTGACAATTTTTTTAAATTTCTTTTTTAGATGTTGATGAACCTTTATTTTATTCATTTATTTATATGCAGTGCTGAGAATTGAACCCAGTGCCTCACACATGCTAGGTAAGCACTCTACCACTGAGCCACAACCCTAGCCCACACACTGACAAATTTTAATCTGAATAAATTAATCTATGCATCAGGCATATACTTGTGCCTATTTCTAGCAATATGGTACAACAGATAATCCCTCTGTTACCAAGAAACATCTAGATATCACATAAAAACATTCTAAAAGCATAAAAAAATCCCTAAAGGGGTAAGGGACCAGAGGAAAATGAAACCACAGAAGTAATAGCAAGGCAGACAGGAATCTGGGGATGCCTAGGGGTAAAAAAAAAAAAAAAAAAAAAGTCCACATTGAACAGTTTTGTAAGAAATAGAAGACCAGCTTAGGGTCCTTGCAATGCGGGAGTGCCAAAATACAGACTCTGATATAAAACAGGGAACTCTGACTGCCTGAAAGGCAACTTATTAGGAAACCTGTCCTTGCCTCTGCTTGAAGTAGAGGGGAAAAAGTAGCTCCTCTGAGAATGTGTAACCAGGAACTTACTTTTAGAATATAGGACTCAAAGTTAAAATATTTTTTTTCAGGCAAGGAATTCTAAAACTAAAAAAACACATTTGTTTAAGACTGGTTATGCCCAATATCTAACAGAAGCAAATGGAAATTCTTTCTGACAAAATCCTTGATCAAACAGTTCACACTCAAATGAGTTCTCAATATAGAAAGAAAAAAAAAATCATCACATCACAGGAGGCAAGCATCCATGAGCAAAAGTTTGCAGAAAAAATAAACAACAGATATATAACCCAGAAAGATCCTGATAATGAAACTGTTACAAATTATAAATTCACTGCTTGAAATGTTTAAAGAATAAAAGACAGTTTTTGTTATGGTTTGGATCTGGAATGTCCCCCAAAGGCTCATGATTTTGAAGGCTTGATGTCCCCCAATTAAGAGATGGAGATTTGGGGAAGTGATTGGATCATAAGGGCTCTGACCTTATTTGCTGATAGAGATGCATAATTTGATCGCATTATTGGGAGGTGATGGAAACTTTAGGAGGTGGGCCTAGTTGAAGGAAGTAGGTCAAAAGGGGATCTTTGAAGGGTGTACCTTGACCCACACACTCCTCGTTTCTCACTTTGCTTCTCCATTGCAATGAAGTGAGTAGCTTTTGCTCCACCAAGCCCTCCCACTATGATGTACTGCTTCACCACAGCCCAGAAACAATGGAGCCAGCCACTGATACCTCTAAAACAATGAGCCAAAATATATCTTCCCTCTTTTGTTTTTTTCAGGTATTTTCTCATAGAGGTGGAAAGCTAACACAGTACTGAAGAAGTAAAACTATTTGTAAATGACATGATTTTTGTAAATAGAGAATTCTTAGGAATCCACTAAAAAACTATGAGACTAACAGGTAAGTTAATACTACTGCAAGATACAAGATTAATAAAATTCAACTGCATTTCTATACATCTGCAAAGAACAATCTGAAAATAAAGTTTTAAAACATTTTTAATTACAATAGAATCAGGAAAAATAAAATTCTTAGCAATAAATTTAGACAAATATAAAACTTACACTCTGAAACTACAAATGCTTAAAGAAATGTAAAAGATCTAAATAAGTGGAAAGACATCTCACATTCACGGATTAGAAGAAAATACCTCTAAAATGGCAAGTTCCATACATGACTGAACACAATCCCCATCAAAATGCCACCTGCCTTCTTTGCAGAAATTGACAAGTTGATCTCAAGACTGATATGGATATTCAAGAGACCCAGAACAGTCAAAACAATATTGAAAAAGAACCAAATTGGAGGACTCACTGTTGGCAATCTTGAAACTCAATACAAAGCAACAGTATCAAGACAGTGTGATACTAACAAAGAGATACATTATTAATACCTAGTATATCTATGTATTCTCTCTCCCCTCACCCCATTTTATTCTCCAAGTGGTAGAATCCAGAGTCCAGAAATAAACATATATACATACAACTGACTTTAACAACATTGCCAAGATAATTTAAAAAGGAAAAGAATAGGATTTTTTTCTTTTCTTTTTTTTTTTTTTTTTGTACCGGGGGTTGAACTCAGGGGCATTCAACCACGGAGCCATATCCTCAGCCCTATTTTGTATTTTAATTAGAGACAGATCTGAGTTGCTTAGCACCTTGCCATTGATGAGGCTGGCTTTGGACACATGATCCTCTTGCCTCAGTCTCCCTAGCCACTGGGATTATAGGTGTGCACCACCATGCCCAGCAAGAACAGGATTTTAAACAGCACTGGACAACTGAATATCCATATACCCACAGAAAATAAAGTTAAATCCCTTCTTCACACCACATGCAAAAATCAATTCAAAATGGATCAAAGATAAAAATGGAGAAGTTGAAACTATAAAACTCTGAAGAAAACATAGGAGTAAATCTTCATGACCTTGGATTAGGCAATGGTTACTTACATATTAACACTTCAAGCAGTCAGCAACAAAAACAGATAAAATGAACTTTATCAATATCAAAAACCATCAAGAATGTGAAAAGAAAACTCACAGAATATGAGAAAATATTTGTAAATCATTTATCTAATGAGAGACTTATATCTAAAGAGCTCATGCAACTCAATAAAAAAAGACAACCCAATTTAAAAATAACCAAAGGAGATATACAAATGGCTAGTCGGTACAAAAAAATGCTTACTATCAACAGCCATCAGGGAACTACAAACCAACATTACAGGACACTACTTTATACCAACTGGGATTAGAAAAAGACAACAATAAGTGCTAGCAAGAATGCAGATAAATTGAAACCCCCATATATTCCTGATGGGATTTTTGGAATATGGTATAGTCACTGTGGAAATCAGTCTGAAGTTGGTGATAAAGTTAAACATAGAGTTACCATAAGATCTAGCAATCTCACTCCAAGGTATACATTAAAGAAATATGAAAATATACATTCACCCAAAAACATGTACACCAGTGTTCAAAGCAGCATTACTTATAATAGTCCCAAAGTGGAAACAATCAAAATGTTCATTAACTCAACTGATGAATGGATGAATAAAATGTGGTATCCATACAATGGAATATCAATCATCAACAAAACAAAAAAGTACTGACTCATGCTATAACATGGATGAACCTCAAAAACATTTTACTAAGTGAAAGAAGGCAGTCATAGATAATCACAAATCATGATTCCATTTATATGAAATGTCTAGGACATGCAAAATCTAGAGACTACAATGTAGATTAGTTTTTCTCTGGTTGGAGGGAATGGACAGAATGAAGGAAGATTAATAAAAGTTATGAAATATCTTTTTGGAGTGCAAATATAAAAGTTCCAAAACTGAATGTGAATAATATAAAATGAAATCTAATAGCATGAGAATTAAAATATAGAATGAAAGGAAATCTCTGAAGAGATAATCACTGTGAATTTCCTAGAACTAATAAACATTAGAATCCACAAATTTAGAAAGTACAATGTATACCAAGCAGAAAAAGTTAATCTATACCTACACAAACTATATTGAAATTGAAAACATTAATGAAGAGAACATCTTAAAAGCAATCAGAGAATAAAGATTAGCAACTGGAGTCAAATGATCAGAAAAACGTACAACCAGCATTTCAACAATAAAATCCAAAAGACCATAAAATAATAATTTCAAATTGTTAAGAAAAAAATCATTCTCAACCTAGAATTCTATGCCTAACAAAATTAACTTTCAGAAAAGAGAAACTGACCAGCATGGGGCACACGCCTATAATCCCAGCAGCTTGGGAGGCTGAGGTAGTAGGATCTTGAGTACAAAGCCAGCCTGAGCAAAAGAAAGGTGCTAAGCAACTCAGTGAGACCCTGTCTCTAAATAAAATACGAAATAGGGCTGGGAATGTGGCTCAGTGGTCGAGTGCCCCTGAGTTCAATCCCCAGTAGCCCTCCAACCCCGCCAACCCCGCCCCCCCCCCCAAAAAAAAAAAAAAACAGAGAGAGAGAAACTCCATTTTTTAAATGCTCTCACCATAAAAAAAAAAAAGTTACGTGAGGTAATGCACATTAATGAGCTCAATTTAGCCATTCTAAATTGAATAAGTATTTTGAAATGTCATGCTGCAAACAAAAAATACATACAATTTTTATTTGTCAATTAAAAATAAAAATGAGAAAAAATAATATAGATTAGTAAAGACAAAAACTTTTAAAACCATCTATAAATCTACCAATAAGAGATAATCATGGATTACATGACCTGAAACATCATTCTTACCTTTGCAAGGTGTTCCCACAGTTGCTGCATATAGGTTATTTTCATATTTCTTTAAACGGTCTTCTAAATTATTAATCTAAAAATAACAAATATTCAAATCATATCATAAGATTTGCACAGAAACCAAATGTAAGAAAAATATGATTACTGTAGCCACTAGGTTTTTTAATGCTGAAGACAAAGTATAGGTAAGTAAAATTAATTTCTTAGATTTAAACCAAAAGACAACAAAAGAAAAAAAAAATAGAAAGCTGTGCATCAAAGGACAGTATTAGGGGTTGGGGCTGTGGCTCAGTGGTAGAGCGCTTGCCTAGCATATATGAGGCACTGAGTTCAACCCTCAGCACCACATAAAAATAAAGAAATAAAATAAAGATTATGTCCATCTACACTAAAAATTCTTTAAAAAAAAAGTAAAAAAGACTACCTACAGAATAGGAGAAAATACTTAGAAATAATATATCTGATAAAGAATTTGTATCCAGAATATATAAAGAGCACTTATAATTCAACAATAAAAAGAAACAACCCAACTAAAAAACATGGGCAAAGAACATTAATAAAAATGGCCAACAAGCAGAGGAAAAGATGCTTAACATCATTTAGTCATTAGAGAAATACAAATTAAAACCACAATTATATTCTACTTCATAAAGACTCAGATGGCTATAATCAAAAAAACTTAGCAAAATTGAAAGTCCTTACACATTGTAGCAAAATTGAAAGTCCTTACACATTGTTGATATAATGAAAAATGGTGCTGCTGCTATGGAAATATTTTGGCAGTTTCTCAAAAAATAAAAGAATTATCGTATAACACAGAAATGCCATTCCTGGGTATACATATACCCAAAAGAATTAGAAACAGATTTCAAACAAAAACAGTGTACACAAATGTTAGTAACAGCACTATTTGCTATAGCAAAAAGGTAGAACAACCCAAATGTCCAACAATTGAAGAATGGATAAACAAAATATGGTATATCCATACAATGGGATATTATTTAGACAGAAGGAGGAATAAAGTACTAAAATATGTCAAACATAGAGATGAATCTTGAAAACATTACGCTAAGTGAAAGTCAAACATAAAAGGTCATGTATTGTATGATTCCATTATATAAATACCCAGCACAGGGAAACTCATAGAGATGAAAAGCAGATTAGTGGTTGCCAAGGGGTTGAGGAAGGAGGTAACAGTGAGTGACTGTTTAATGGGTGTGAGATTTCTTTTCAGGGTGATGAAATGTTATAGAACTAGATATAGTGAATGTGAATAGTGACTGATATTTGTGAATAAACTAAATGTCAATTAATCATATACTTATTAATCATATTATTAAAATGGAAAATTCTATATGTATTTTACCACAATAAAATCACAAGTATAAAAACTTTGTGCCATAACAGTTTTGAAGATTTAAGGATACTAAAAGAAGAGAATTTTAAAGCACTAATCTTAAGAATTAAGGAAAGGACTGGGGTTATAGCTCAGTGGTAAGAGCATTTGACTACCACGTGTGAAGCACTGGGTTCTATCCTCTGTACCACATTAAAATAAATAAATAAAATAAAGGTATTATGTCCATCTACAACTAAAAAAATAAAAAATAATAAAATTAAGGGAAAAGTTAAAGCCCTGAAGAAGTATGGGGGGAAATGTAATAGTTGAACAATGTACCTGTCGTTATGAGTTTAAAAATATGAAAAATTTGAAACATATTCAAATAAAGAAAGTATAGAACAATTAAAGACCATAAACCCATTTATCACCCAATTTCAACAATTATCAAGATTTGTCTGGGGCTAGGGATGAGTGCTTGCCTAGTATGCATGAAGCCCTGGGTTTGATCTCCAACACTGCTAAAATAAAAAATAAAAAAAGATTTTTGTTTGTGTATATTTTAAGAGAACTGGTTAAATACCTGGAAATTTAGCCTTCAAACTTAGCCTACTGACTTGAGCCACTATTGATCCAAAGTTTAGAAAAAGACTTCACCAAGGATCAAGTTACACACACAAATGTGTATATGTGCTTGTGTTGCATGCCTGGGATTATACCCACACATATTTAAACTGCAGTACATATATTGTCTTTGGATAATAGGTGGACAAATCTTATTAAATTAGAACAATTTATTTAACCACTATGAGAAAGCACCAAAGATGATGTCAACATATTTTCCCCTGATAAACCGAAAAAAAAAAAAAAAAAGTTCTTTTTAGAACTTAAGTTATTAAGTTGTGTTATACAAACACAAATTGTTACCCAAAATGTTAAACACTAGAAATAATAGGATACAAATGTTTTTGTTTAAATATATGTGATCATGAATTTATAGAGATAACCTCTAGCACCTCTGGACTTGGAAATAAATTTCCCATGTAAAAAGAATATCAAAGTCAATTATTAGATCAGTTGTTTTTGTAAAATCAGTTAAAAGAGATCCAAGTCCATATTAACATACATTAAGTTAGTTAAAAATAAATAGCACTGATTAGCCTGTACCTGTTCTCTGAACTCTTGCTCTTTCAACTTTGAATCACTGATTAAAGAAGTCTTCTGTGCTAGCTGAGTCTGAAAGAACAAAAAACAGATCTGAACTGTATATGGGTTTCATCAATGTCTGGACACATTTCTTTACTACTTGAGAAAAATCTTCCTCATTAAAACATTTTTTTTTGTTTTAGTTTATTTAAAAAAAAAGCATTCCTAAAATGCATTCTTTAAATTCACTGAACAATTAATCTTACCTGTAGTGCCATAATTGTTACCTGAAAAAGGCAAAGAAAAAATAATGAGTGAATGCAATAAAATCTGCAAGTAATAAAACAGAGCAATATGAAATTATAGGGAAATAAATTACAGTATTAAGGGAGTGGTCAGATTTGAGATAAGGCACTTTAAATATCTGCTTTCAAACCTGGTTTATTTTGTTTTTTAAACTATCTACCCACAAACATAGGTGAATACAAAGAAAAAGACTACAAAGTCAATCACCAAACTTCTAACAATGATTACTACATAAGGAAGGTGCCCCCGCCCATACAGGTTTCATGTTGTATACTTTTGCATTACGTGACTCTTTCCACAATAAGAATATGTTTGTTGGGCTGGGGTTGTGGCTCAGTGACAGAGTGCTTGCTTCGCATGTGTGAGGCACTGGGTTCAATCCTCAGCACCACATAAAAATAAATAAATAAATGATTAAATAAAAATATTGTGTCCATCTACAACTTAAAAAAAATTAAAAACAAATGTTTGTTTATTATTTGTAAAATTTCTTTATTAACATCTATTTAAAGCACACAGGGAAATTGCTGAATTACTGTGTCTTGGAACTCATTCTTTTTTTCTTTTTTTTGGTACCAGGGATTGATCTTGGGAGCACTCAACCACTGAGCCATATCATCAGCCCTCTTTTGTATTTTATTTAGAGGCAGGTTCTCATTGAATTGCTTAGCCCCTTACTTTTTGCTGAGGCTGGCTGTGATGCTCCTGTCTCAGCCTCCCAAATTGCTGGGATTACAGGCGTGAGTTACTACACACGGCAGGAACCCACTCTTTACTATGATCACAAAGTATTTTTCCTGGAACTCAACATGTGTGTATAAATCAAAATATCTAGAAGCTCGGTATTGGTAGTGTGTACCTGTAGACCCAGCTACTCTGGAGGCTGAGGGGAGGATCACTTGAGCTCCTGCTTGTTCCAGACCAGCCTGGGCAACACAGCAGGACTCCATCTCGAAAAATAATGATGCCTAGTAGATTTTTAAATTCCCACCACAGTGTGAGCCTGGACATTTTATTCAACCTCTTTGATTCTTTTACTGTCTGTAAAAGGAGACAAGAATCTCTTGAAAGGTTTGTCAGAATTAAATGAGATGCTACGTATGTAGGTCAAGTCATGGAACTGACAATGTTTTCAAAAAACACACTTGAATTCCTCTCACATTATCATTGCCAGAATTTTCCTCCTGTTGAAGCTTTTGCTGATATTTCTTCTGTAGCTCCTCAAGCTGAGTTTGCAAGTCCATTACTTTGGCAGTCATTTCTTCTTCACGAGCCTTTAGAATAAAAAATAGTAATAATGTGGTAGAGAGGCAGCATGGTGTAGAGAAAACTTAGCTCAAGTTTTTGAGACATACAGTACTATTTGTAATTAATTAGTATGATCTAAACAGTTTCCTCCATGCCCTACTTTGAGCTCCAAGCCTTTTCCAATGCTGCTCACTATTTCCAGGATGACATTTCTTACACCCTCACTCCATTATTCTCACCAAATAAAGCTCATCAAACTGTTTCTTTGCCCTGAAAATACAATTTTTGAAGGTTTGAAGCATGAGATTATAACAGTGTGTTGTAATGACTATAATGCCTTTTCCATATTGGGATCTGACTTTCAGAAAACATTCAAAGAAATAAAGTAACTTGTATAACTAATTAGGACAAATTTTAAAGTTTTTTTTAATTAAAAACTAAAATAAAGTAGCTATTTTTATACATAGCACTGTCCATCCAGCTGGCAACTTAACTGATCTAAAGAAGTTGTGGGGGAAAAAAATAAAATAAAGAAGGACGTTATGGAATTTCGGGGTTTTTTTTCCTACTTCCTTTGGATAGGCTGTATAACTCAACAGTTGGTCTTCTGTCCTAGACTGGCAAATTTACAAGCACATCTTCTACACATCTGCCCCCAAACCACATTAGGGGTTCCTGAGGGTACAATGTACAATTAAAATCTGTCCTTGAAAAAAAAAAAAAAAGCTACTATTTTGTTGATAATCAATGTAAGGTCTCCATTTGCCTAAACTTTGCAAAAACTAGACATGGCTAAATTAGAAAAAGTAATGTGTGACTTTTTGACTCAAAGAATCTACTTAGAAAATTTGGCACAGAAATCATTTTCTCTTCAGTTTTGACAGCCTTGGTAATAGGATGTTGCCAGACCTTACATTCCTTCATCTGTCTTGGCAATTGCTGTGATTTACTATCCAAAGTAATCCAGATCTTTCCTCAATCTTATAAATCTTGCAATAACCTTTATGCTAAAAGAACATTTGGAATTAGAATATTGATCTGACTTGAATAATAAAGACAATTGTTTGCTGACTAAGGAACTTAACAGGAAAAACAACCACAAACAGGTATCTGATTTAACAGATGCTGACTTTCCAGAAACATTCTCTAAGACAAAAAAACAGATGATTAGGCCCCATGGCACAAAATAAGGCAATGTGAGCCATAAGACACTTGGACAATCTAATTTCCAATACTACTTGTCATGAAATTTTCTCTAGTACTTGAAAAAAACAAATACCTTCTCTCAACATCAGCAAAACTGAAATCTCTAGTCTCTAGCCTCCTTATATATTGCCCCACCAAGGCAAACCTTAACCAGGCCTCCACATCTAAAACACCATCAACCAGAGTTATTGTAAAAATATTAGTGTCCTCAGTTCTGAGGTTTACTTTAAAAAGTAAACACTCAGTGGTTTACTTTTTAAATTTTACTCTGACATATCGCTCATGGCTGTCTGTGTCAATGTGGTTCAGACTTATTTGAAAAGATCACCTCCATAGCTACTTATTCAGCTAGGCCCAGATTTTAATATGACAATTGGCACTTCCTTTGATAACTGTAGGACACCAACCTAAGGCAAGCCCTCTAAGAATTAGGAAAGAATCCTTTATGAATTATTTCTAATTTAGTAAACAGTTCTGATGCTGGGATTATAGCTCAGTGATAGAGTGCGTCTCTGGCATGTGTGAAGCCTTGGAATCACAGAATCACACCCGCATGCGTACACACACACACACACATACACGCACCAGTTCTGTAATTTTTTTTTTTTATAAATGCTTGTTAGTCTTCTTTACAATAAAAAAAGATGAATGTATGCAATTTTCATTAGATACCATTTTTAAATATACTTTTTGTATTATTTTTATCTTTTAGCAATGTGAATATGTTGTTCAATATTTTCCCAAATAAAAGTTAAATTAAAAACATTTTTAAAAAAATCCTAAAGAATTGGGAACATGAGAAAATGAAGAACAAGCTAAAGTTGAGTTTAGCTGGCATACACTGATCACTGGGACAATGGGGAGCCATTAGACTTATTTAGGAGGTGAAGTAATATGATTATCCTTTTGCTGCAAGATAGAAAATAATTGTAAGAATGTATGAATATATCAGAGGGGAAAATAAAAAGACAAGTAGAAAGGAGATCAGATAAGAAATTAAAACAATAGACTAGACTAGTTGAAAGATGGCAGCCCAGACTGGTAGCAGCAGTAGAGTTAAGAGAAGAACAACATGGAATATAATTAAAGGAGAAAATCATATCCTAAGAGCCTGCTGTATTTGAGATATTGGGCTGGCAATGAAAGCAGATGCCTACCCTAATAAATACACGGATGCTTATGTGTGAGGGACTTAGGAAGGTGGAACCAAGGATGAAAAACAGTTCCTAGTTTATTCAAATAGGCAATGATAAGTATGTTACCTACCTAAGATGGCAGGAAAAATAAAATCTCTCTGTGCTCAAATTTTAATAAATAACAATTTAACAGATAAGAATTATTTTAATCAATAACAAAATGTAGCCTTCTATAATGTCATCACTGAGATAAATCATCAATCTTTCAGAAGGGGAAAAATATAGTATTAGATAATACATACAAATCCCATACAAATTTTCAACCTGAAAATTTTTTAAATGGAAGAATGGTAGAGAATAGACCTCAGAATAAAAGCAATATGGTGTTTACTGAGAATTGCTAATATCTCCTTATTACTTACATTTTTAAAAAATTTAAGATGAATATATATTTTGGATGCATATTTAAGTGTATATTACAACTAGCTACCAGAAACCACAGAATTGTGGTTAGTAAACACTTGAAATACACTAGTTCAAACTGAGATAAAATATGAAGAATTAAAGAATGCACATATATAGCTGGATGTGTTGTTTATATACACCTGTATTCCTAGAGACTCAGAAAGCTGAAACAGGAAGATACGTAGTTCAAGGCCAGCCTGGGAAAGTTAATAAGAACCTATCTCAAAAATAAAAACTAGAAATGGGTTGGAGATAAAGCTTAGAGGTAGAACACCCCTGGATTCAATTCCAAGTAATGTTTAAAAAAAAAAAAAGAAAGAAAAAGAAAGGAAGGAAGGAAGGAAGGGAGGGAGGGAGGGAGGGAGGGACGGAGGGAGGGAGGAAAAGAGTGAGTATACATAAATTTATATAAATACATACACATACCTTGGTACATTTGGGGAGTGGTTTCAGGACAACCCTCTCCCATACCTCTTTCCATATACCTTAAATCACTTCTAGGTTGCTTATAATCCTAATACAAATTCCAAGTAAATAGAAGTTATATTGTATTGGTTAGGGACTAATAACAAGAAAAAAATCCATACATGTTCAGTTCAGACATAAATTTTCTGAAATATTTTTGATCAGTAGTTAGCTAAATCCAGGTTTAACAGAACCCATGGATAATATGAAGGCCTACTGCATGTAAATTTTATATCAAGTACAAGTTGAAATGAAAATATTTCAGTTATACTGAGTTAGTTAACATATGCTATTAAAATAAAGTTGCATTTTTAAAATATAGCTACTAGAAAACTTTATAATATGGTTCACAGTATATTTTTAATGGACAGTGTTGGTCTAGGATACAGGAAGGAACTTAAACAGAGTCCACCCCATTCCCTTACCCATTCTTCATTTTCTGCCCACTTGCTCTATTATTTTAAACCTGATTAATGAAGACTGTTTTCCTAGTCTCCCTAATATACAGCTCATCTTCAAGGAGGGACCAAGACAAAAGGCGTACATCACGTGTCTCCTTGCTCTGTTATTCCATTACCTAAAGAGGTATGTCATGACCCTTGCAAAGTCTACCATCTGCTACCCCACACATCCAGTCAGAAGTAGTTCACCAAAAGGAACTATAGAGGTGTGGCAAAGCTTCTCCCCTGCAGTTGAAGTCCCCTGGCTTAACTGCTCATCAAAGTTCCTGTCTTAAGGAGAAGTCTTTATTTATGAAATATGTGAAGCTAATGAAGAATATGCTCTAGCACTCACTCTGTCATTTTAAGGAAATCATTTAACTATGCTAAATTTGCTTTTCCTTCTGCAAAAACAAAAACAGATATAACAAATTAAAATTAAAAAAAAACCAGAAGACAGAACTAAACTAGCTGTGTTTTATCTTCCAATTTCAACATTCTCTAAGCATTCAGGTATATTATTTTTTTTAACTTAGTACATACATACTCTGGAAATATTAAAAAATGTAAAATTATTTAAATCTTTATTCTGAAACCATTTCCCAAATATACCGAGGTATATGTGTGTATTTATATAAATTTATGTACATTTATAGATATGTGTCATATATTGGAATTTCAGTCATTTCAATTATATTAGCAATAATTATATCCTCTAAGATCAGACATCTACTGCTAACACAGTTGAGACATGATTTTCTGATTTTGCATTTTAATCATAAAATGGCTCTTGGAGTATAGAAAAATAAAGTTTGGAGCAACAGAGTAACTAAAAGATACGTAACTCAATTGAAACTAATTTACAGTTTAATATTTATATTTAGTTTAAAAACATTCTTGGGATCCAAAGTATTCACTAGCATTCAGGGATTGAACCCAGGGGCACTCTACCACTGAGCTAAATTCCCAGCCCTTAATTTTTTATTTGAGACAGGTTCTTACTAAGTTGCCTAGGCTAGCCTTAAACTTGGGATCCTCTTGCCTCAGCCTCCTGAGTAGCTGGAGTTATAGGAGTACACCACCATGCCAAGCTCATGGCTTATCTTCATGGCTACAGTGCCATTAATGAAATAAGTATTTTGAACTAAACTTCCACTAAATATGAAACATTTAGCTGATACTCTGTTTCTCCCCCCATCTTTTTTTTTTCCTTTGATACCAAGAAAAACTCTTCAAATGAATAAGAATTGAATAAAGTTAACTGGCTTGCCCAGAAGACCCCATGTAAGCAGCCCCATTCGAAACACACTAACTGTCCCATTACTAAAGACTTTACTCAAACACAGGCTCTGCAATCTTAGCATAGTTCTCTTACAGTTCTGTATGAATCTATGAGGAAGAAGGAAAAGAAGATTCCTTTTTCCCCTTAGAAACTCATGGTTGCTTCAATACTAGCAAGTGGGCTGTACCAACTAGAGCAGAATCTGATCAGGAAACTACAGTACTGGCAGAAATCAATTAGACTTTAAATCTACATATAGTACAGAAATATTAATTTGGGTAATATTATAAAAAAACCTTCAATTTTACCATGAAATCTACTATAGCTAAATTTCAAATGAGAAAGAAAATAAGGTACATCAAGGATTTCTTCATATCTTTTGGCTGTTCTTTTTAGATCATCATCTTTCTCTGCAATTTTTTTATGTAACTGATTTGTCTCTTCTCGATGGCTTTCCAAAAGTTCAGCTTCTACCTCCTGGGCCTTATCTAATAGATAAAAAGAGATATATACAAGAAAACACATTAGTCAAGAGTAACTACCTATATCCCAATTTCAGTAAAAATTCTCGCTTCCAATTATTTTTGCTAAAATTCAATTTAGTGTGAACATTACAAGATGTTAAATGAGACAACCAGCCCAACAAATGATCAAAATGATCAAAAATGATCAAATGATCAAAAGAACCCTGTAAGAACTGAGCATAAGTACAAGGTCATTATTAGCTAAAACTTTAGGATTCTTTCACCCACTCCTCCCCGTCAAGGCAAGTCACTGCCAGCTACAGGTAAAAGAACTTTCTAGAGAAACTAATAGAGAATTTTGGGGGGTAAAGACCATTTTTTCCTCCAGTTTAATGACTTACAGCACTTACCATAACTGCAAAAAAGAATAATCTTAAATTATAGCATCTGCTGATTTTGATTTGTTCCTCATTGAATTTAAAATTATACTTACTGATCGTTTCTTTTATGGTCATTTCCAGCTCCTGCTCCTTTTGTGCCAGCTGAGTATTAAACTCTCTCATCAGCTGTTTTAATGTGGAATTGTGCTTCAACTCAAGATCTTCCTGTTCCTGCCTGAATGAAAAAATAAAAATTGAAAGGTTTACTTGCTGCCAACAAAACGAACAAGTTGCAAAGTTACCTGGTCTTCAAAACAGTACAAATAGGATGATCTTACTAACATGAAAACAATTCTAATGGTGTGTGTGCATGTGTGCGTATGTGTGTCCAGATACAGAAAATTTCTGGAAGGATATACAAACTATGATTACCTCTCTAGGGAGTGGTTGATTGGAGAATTTTTTTCTTTTCCATTTGAATTTCTACCAACCATCTATGTTATATATAATAATATTACAATTAAAAATAATAAACCAAAAATAAAATTATTTATATGTATATCTAATAATTATGATCTTATACTCTTCCCCCAAATGGACATGGAATAACACTTGCCCTAACTTGTTTTGTATTTCTCCTCAGTATTTAACTTACTAGACTTTTGTTTAACACTCTGGTAGGGAAATACTCAAATAACTTAAAAATAACTATATTAGGCACAGGAAAAAAAGGATACTTAATTAAGGAAGAGTACAGAAATAAAACATACTTGATTTTCTCCTCCATTTCTTGTTCACATTCTTTCTTTAATATTTCCAATTCTTGCTGATGTTCCTTTCTCAACATCCGAAGGTCTTTCTGCAATCTAACGATCTCCTTGCCCAGTTTCTGTTTTTCCCGCTCTGCCCCTGCTAATTTAAACTCCAGGTCATTGTGTACGGCTTCCACGTTACCAAGCAACTGGGGTTGGACCACATGTGATTTGGATTTTTCTTCAGTATTGTCTTCCAAAACTTCAGTGGGTTTATTTTTTCCATCCATCTGTTGTTGTAAAGCCTGTAATTTTTCATATTTTAAGGTTAACTCTTCCATTTCAACTCTATGTGCTTCCTTCTCTCTTACTAAGCAGGAATCCAGCTCTTTTATCTTTTGCTCCAAGGTCTGACAGGTTAGTTCCTGCTCCTGGAGGGTTTTCTGGACACCATCAGCCACGTTTTCCCAGTTTTGCTTTGTCTCTACATTATTTTTACCTCCCTCTTCTTCCACATGCTGGGACATTATCGAGGGATATTTCTTTTTTTCCTCAAGTTCCTCCTGAAGATGATCTATTACAATTTGATGTTCATGTTGCTTTGCTTCAGCACTTTCTAACTTTAATAAGAGCTCCTGGTACTTACACTGCATTTCAGAATAAGATGAAATTGCCTCTTCTTTTTCCTGCTCTAGTCTCTTCAACAGCTTTTCTTTTTCTGTTAGATTTCCTTGTAAAACACTAAGTTTTTCTTCATATGCCTTTTGCACACAGCCTTGGGAATCTGTTTCTTCTTGCTCAGCAGAAGCAGCCACATTTTTGGCTGAGCTGGATATAACTGATGTTTCTGATTGTGGAGGACTTTCCATTGACTTAAGTTTCTCTTCCAAAATATGAACTTCCCTTTCTCTTTCTTGCAATTTTGTGTTTAGCTCACTCAGATGGCTTTCTGTACCTTTTTTATATTGTTGTTCTTTCTCTTCCATTTGAGACAACAACTGTTTCTTGATAGCGGCAATTTTTTGCTCAGCTTTCTTCTTCAGTTCTGCTAGTTTTGCAGCACTTTCTAACTCAAGTCTATCTTCCAATGCCTTTAACTCATCTTCTTTGCTTTTCACACATGAATTCACATGTTCTATTTCTTGCTTCTTAATTTCAAGCTCAGCTTCCATCGAAGACATTTGCTTTTCAAGTCTTAAAGCCTTTTCCTCAGCTTCTTTAATTCTGTTGTCCTTTTCTTCTCCTAACTCTTCAAAGTGTTGAAGTTGCTGAACCAATTCTTTTTGTTCAACATCTTTTTGTTGATTGTAATTTGTAAGAACTTCACGTAAAGACTCAATTTCAATTGTTTTCTGAGTAATATGGTCCTCTAATTCCACAATCCTTGCTGTTTGAGTCTTTAATTCAGTCTCTAAATTACACTCCTTTTTCTCCATCTTGCTCATCTTGTCTTCCATTTCACCCCTTAAACATTCATATCTTTTATTTTGTTCATCCAAGTCTTCCTTCAATAAATTTATCTCCTCATCCTTTTCATTAGTTTCCTTTGTTTTTAACTCAAACTGCATCTTCAATTCTTTAATAGTGTCTTGATGCTGCATAAGTTTTGACTGAGCTTTTTTCTTCCATTCTGAGAATTTGTTGGACCAGTGATCCACCTGCTCAAGAGCAGACATTTTCTCTTTACTCAGGGTATCAATTTTTAAAGACAAATCTTGTACCTGATCCTGTAATTCACGCTGCTGTTTGTTATACTGCTCAGTGAGAGATGAAATGGCTGCTTCTTTTTCAGTTAGGCTGATACTATTCTGAAGTTGAGTGTTTAAATCAGCTAGTTGTTTACTAAGACTGCTGATCTCAGATTTTTTTTCTGTAAGCTCTTCTTTCATCAGTGTGACAGCATTGATGTTTTCAGATAACTCTTTCTTTAACTGTGTGATACAAGACTCCTTTTCAGAGGCAGCCTGCTGCTGATTGCCTCCTTCCTTCTGTAAGGCTTCTTTTTCTGTCACAAGTCCTTCAATATCAGCCTTCATGCTCTTAATTTGATTTTCTTTTTCTTCTAGCTGATGGGTAGCCTGTTGAAAAGAACTATTCAGTACATTTTGTTCTTGTGTTAGCTGTGTAAGTTGTGCTTCCAATTCAGAAACTCTGCAGGTTTTCATTAGCAGGGCCTCCTTAACTTTAGTTGTGTGGTGTTGACAGAGGGAAATCCTAGAAAGAAGGGCATTAATTTTACTACTACTAATGTTGATTAGCTCATTTGTTTTAGCTTCCAATAGAGCTTCAGTTTTCTTAGAGTAATCGTCTAGCTGAAATGCTAGTTCCTCAGATAATGTTTTGAATTCCACACTTTTGTCTTCTAGGCTTTTCTTACAGTTTTCATGTAAAGATTTCAAACTGAGAAATTCCTCATCCATAATTTTCAACTTGTCTGTTAACTCAGAAACCTTAAGGTTTTCTTTTTCTGCTAGCATTTTCAGTTCAACTAGCTGCTCTTGAAGAACAGTATTTTCCTTCAGAGAAAGATTCAAGTCAACCTCCAGCTTTTCAAGTTGTGCTTTCAGTTTAGTTTCATTTTGTGAGAGAGAGGTCATATGAACAGACTTTTGCTTTAACTGTTCCTGTAATTCATTTAATGTAGTATCCTGCTTAACACCTTCTTCTTTCAGCCATGTTATTTCCTTGTTCATCTCTTCTTTTTCACACCCAAATATGAGGACCTTTTGCTTCAGTTCTGCTATTTCTTGTTCTTTCTCTTGTAACTGGATTTCATGTTTTTCCTGAAGTTCTTCAGCTTGCTGATTAAGTTTCTTTTCCCAGCTTGATATGACATCACTGAGTTCTCGCCTGTGCGCCTCAGTGAGACTCTCTATTTGCTCCTTTTGATTTGTTTCCAGTCTTGATACTGCATCATTGATTCCAGCTGAGTTAGCCTGTGCCATTTCCAACATTTTCACATTGAACTGTTTTTCTTTCTGACTAAGTTCTAGAACAGTATTTTCAAGCTCTTTTTTAAGTTTGGCTTCCTGATCAGACAATTTTTTTTTTAATGTCTCTTGCATCTCCTTTGCTTTCTGCTTAATTTTTTCCATCTTTTTTTCTTGATTTTTAAATTTGTTTTCATATTCCTCATGCAAAATACTAATACTGTCCTCCTTGGCTGACAACTTCTGTTTGAGAATCTCAATTTCTTTGCTCTGTCCTTCTTTCATTTGTAAAATTATATGTTCCTTTTCCATCAAAATTTGATTTGTCTGTTCCTGCTCAATGTTACTATCCTTAAGTTGGGACTCATAGAGTTGGGTTAAAGATTTTATTTTTTCCTCCATTTCACTACGTTGTTTTTCAAGCTGCTGCATTAAGTCCTGCACCTGGGTTTTTTGAGTATCTAACTCGGTACAAACATCTTTCTTTTGTGTTTCAACTTCAGCTACCTTTTTGGTAAGAAGAATTTTTTCTGTTTCCAAATCCAGCAACTTCTGCTGCAACTGAGCCAACTGCTCCTCATATGCTTTTGCCTGTTCACGTGTGGTACTCTGGTGTGACTGGAAAAGATTCAGCTTAGCAGATGCCTCTTGGAGTTCTCCCTCAGACCTTTTAATATCTGCCTCTAAATTTTCTACATGAGCCTGATGCTCTTTCAAGTGCTTGTCCTTTTCTTTCAAGAGAAGCTCCAGTTGATTAATTTGATCTTTCAATGCCTTCTCCGTTCTCTGGATAGACATTTCTTGTTCTTTAATCATAGTATCAACTTGCTGCTGGTGATGATTCTTCTGTTCATTCAGCTTGGCTTCTAAGTCTTGCTTCATTTTATCAGCTTGATCCCTTAGATCAGAAAGTTCCTCTTCTAGCTGGTGACGAGCTTTTAATACCTCTGACAATTCAGAAGATAATGATTCTAGCTCTGTTTGCTTCACATCAAGCTTTTCTAAAGTCTTTTCATTCATCTCTTCTATGTGGGCCTGGAAAAGAATCTCTTTGTCTTTCAATAGTGTTTCTTTTTCTTGTTCATATGTTTCTCTAAGTTTTTCCATTTCAGTCTGATGCTGTTGCTTTAAGACTTGGAGTCTTTCAGACCAAAGGTTATCCTGCTGATGCTGCAGACTCTCCAGTTCTGTCTTGTGTTTTTCAACCAAGACTGTAATTTCTTTATTGTGCTTATTTTTTTCAGCTTCCCAATGAACAGCTAAATCTTCTGACTGATTTTTGTTTTCTTGTAAGCTTTTCTCCAGAGAACTTTCCAATTCAAGAATTCTCTGTCAATGAAAATGAACATATTTTTACTAAAGTACATATTAGCTTATGAGCAATGATACACAGACATGATGTCTACTACTTATTTAAAAGATTAAAATTTAGATAAATAACATTACATATCATACCAAACACAAAAAGCCAATGTGTGCTCAATTACTAAAGGAATCATACAACAAAGAAAAGATTCTATTTTTTTACAAAATCCATAATTCCAGATTTTTTTTTCTACTTGCTTGGGTAACTATTTAAATTACCTCTCTTTTCAAGAATATTCTAATGGGTAGTCAAAAAAGAAATAATCACAAACAGATAATAGTAACTTCTGATCAGAAAATCAAAAGAAATCAGAATTTTTTCCCCTCTACTTATTTAAGGCCTGCAATAGTATTTTATTATTTCTATAATTTAATTTTGGAAGAAAAATAATTTATTTTATTTTTTATCACAAAAATTATTATTTAGGAGGTACTTATATAAATTTTACCAAAGACTACCAATATTCATGAAAACATCAATCTTGACTGAAGGAAAAAGAGCTAAGTAAAGCAGAGCCATGGAATGTCAGAGCTGAAAACATCCTGAGGAATTACCAGATTCAATCTCTTCAGGTGACTGGTAAGAAAATTAAGGCACAATCAATTTACAAAACTAGCAAGTGTAAGATCTAGTCCTCTTCAGTGCCCATTTCACTCCACCATGCCACCTTTTATAAAGGTTGGTAATGAAAAAGTAAAGAACAGTTTAGAATGATGGGTAAGAAATGTGACTATCTTACTAATTCAGAGCAAATGGCTAAAAAAAGTTTAACCTTAGTATGTTTTCAAAATAGGAAACATATTTCAAATACTGCTGAAGGAAAAGGTCACTAAGCTTTAAAAATATGCACAATGAAACAGTGGTAGAGCACTCACTCGGTTAGAACGTATGAGGCACCACATAAAAAAAATTAATAAAATAAAGGTATTGTGTCCAGCTACAGCAAATAAATAAATAAACAAACAAATAAATAAATAAATTGTACAAATATATTCATTATAGGATTATGTTAACTTGGAAAAACTTAAAATGCAAAAACAAGATATTGAGGCAAGTGAACTGTGACATAAGCCAAGAATGGACTGTATTTAGGACACAGCATGAGGTGAAGCTGGACAAGCAGGAAGACAGCAGGGCAAGTGCTGCCTACACAGTGAGGCCACTTCCTAGAGAGCAAGGGTAAGTAAGCAATGGAGCAAAGAAGCTGTGGAACCTGAGTGCTCAGAGGCAGAGTATGCAGCTGACAGAAACACAGCCAGCTAAAGATAAAAACAGAAGCACCAGGTAGCAAACATAGAGCACAGAGCCCGAAGCACTCCCATGAACAGCTCTCACCATCTAAAAATGAAGTGCAAGTATACATACACATAACCCAGTAAAACAAAAGCTTCTCTGAAATCTTATATTGCTATTGTCTAGCACTTTCTCTCAGCTATTTGAAATGTGGTGCCTGTTTGAAAAAACACAAATTATTTTATACAAATAATTTCACAGCTCTAGAATCTGTATATTATTTAAGCTTACAGTTTTGTAAGTCTCTGCTTCTTGCTGAAGGTCCCGAAGTTTATTTTCACTGTCTATGAGGATTGCTTTTTTCTGTAACTCTAATTCTTCCAGGGCCAAAGATTCTTGCTGCTCTTTTTCTTGGGTGATCTTCAAATATTCTGATTGACTCTTTTCCTGTGCCAAAAATAATTAAGACCATCTTAAACCCACATTTCCAAAGTAGTTCCACAGGAATCATGCCTTTCAGTTGATCTGCACCCAGCCCTGTGAGGTAGACAATATCATCATCTCTCGTCTTCTCTGCAGAAATGGCACTTTGGCTTTTCCAGTGTGGTCTGGCTGATCTTTGCCACAATTATTATTAATATGAAAAATTTTCTTCCAGGAACCCCACCATGTCTCCTATTTTTCCACTACTTAAAATGTTTTACAAAGAACTGCTAACTATGAAGGGCCACATAATTGTTGCTGTCTTTTCTGCACTTGAAATTGGTATTTCAACACTGTCTAAAAACTAGATTTTAAGTTAATGTGGTCTGTGAGAAATACCTCATTATAATAGGGTACCTCACTTGGAAAACCAAATCAAAATCAGATGACTTGTGAATATATGGATAAGAACAAGGAAATCTCTTTAAAACAAGATTTCAGATTCTCTAAGCACTTTTGCCCCCTCAACTCTGAGAATTTTCTCTAATTCTCTTGATTACATATCAACAATCATACTAAAGGTTTTTACTATTTTGAGAAGAGAAGCTCTAGAGAGTACTTTTTAAGATAGGTTAGCACATTAAAAGCTAATTTCTTGAATAAACTTCAGTTATAAGTGTATTTATCTATACCTGTTGCTTAGGAATAGGCTGCCAACAGCAGTATGGTGAAGGACACTGTTGTAAGCAATGATTTTGTACCATTATATGAGTAGATTGATAAGAAAATACAAATTTTTATAACACTGATTTTAAAGTTTTAACATAAAGTGTAAACTATATTTTAAATGCATTTCTTATAAAAATGCTTATAAAAATAAAAGAAAAAATTTTTAAAGTCTACTGAATCAAGAAAGGGGCAAGCAGACTTGTGTTTTGCTCTATTTGGAATATATCTGAATATATCAGTTCTTAGAAGTCAATATTAGCAATGGCCAATTATTAAGGCCTAGTGCCTGCAAAGGTCAACTACTTAGGCTGAAAAAGCATAGTGGGGCTTGATGAAAGAATTTTAGAGTCATTCCCAGTTTCATTTATGTTCTACTTTGTTCCTCAATTCCCTGCCCCTATTTTTAATTTATGCTGTCTTGTTATACTTTCAATATTCTTATAAACTGCTTGACTTCCTTTCTGAACTAACAAATAACACAAATATGTCTTCATTATTTGTATAACCACATACTAATTTCCCTAACCTCAGCCAATTGTACTATAATTTACAAGTTTATTTGCCCCATAGAGCAGATTAGAAAACTTATCACCTTACTTCATGAATCACTACTGTTGGAAATTCTCAAATCTCTGACCCAATTAAGAAATCAATGTACAAAGGAAGGAGATTAAAATTTTAAATACTATTTCTTCATGCTTTCACAATGAACTCATTTTAAAAGTATACATACTATTTTAAGGATAATAACTTTATATAAAAACTACATTTTTTTGCATTAACACTTTTTATGGTAATTTACATAAAAGGCTTTCACAATTGAAGAAAAAAAATTTTAACTATACTATTTCAACAAGGCTTTTCCAGTTATTGTTTTTGTCAGTTCAGTCTGTTTTTAAATTTTAACTTATTTTTTAAACATCATGTGGATTGAACACTGTCTCCTTTTTAAAAAGCAATTCAGACAAAACTTTGTACATTGGGTCAGTTGAGTTTTCAGACATTCTTCCTGAAGTCATTACTTCAATTAATCTCCTTTTCTTCCTCCTAATTACAGCCTACTGCTAGGGTGGAAGGGCTGGATAAACATACCCAAACAAACAAACTGACTGATGACAGCTTGGTAAATGAATACATTTGATTTTCATATAATACTAAGCTAAGGAGTTCTGATAGCTTTTTTTGCCTACCTCCTATCTTCTCTGCATACCCAAAGGTCAAGGGTACCAGTAGTCTGAAATTAAGCTGAGACAGGAGCAGGGGGTATCAACTCTTTAACTCTGTGAAGTTTACTGATAGCAAAAACAAAATAGATACTTACAAGGGCTACTTTCATTTGCTCCTGTAATTCCTTTTCTCGGGTCTCAAACTTTTTCATCAATTCCTGCTGTTTGCTGGCCAGCTCATTTTCATGCTGCTTCTGCAGTTTAGCAATTTGTTCTTCATTGGATTTCTGAAAATCCACCAAGAAGATAAAGTGAAAACACCCAGAATAAAATAAGTAACTCCACAACTGAATAATACTTAATTATAGTTTAATCAAGCTAATTAAAAGGAAAAATTCTCTATACAGATCAAAGTCATTAAAGCCATGACAGTTAAAAAATAAACTAGGCATGGTGGCCTGTGCCTATGGTCCCTGCACTTGGGAAGCTGAGGCAGACAGATCACTTGAGACCAGCTTGGGCAACACAGCAAGACCCCACAGAAAAGAACAAAAAGAAAAAGGGAAAGGAGATTTAAAAGAAAGAAAACCCAGTAATCCTTTGTTGTTAGTTTAAGAGTGCTGATGCAAGAGATAGAGTCCTATGGGGTTGAAACTGCATTTCCACAACTTGCCAGGAAGTTCCCCAGAACAAGAAAGCATATGGGGGATGAGGGGTCAGTTATGCTCTCAGAGAGGGCACTTCTTTGTGGCTGCACCAATCTGATTACGCTTGCTTTCTAGACATGGACTATTTATTAAAGAGTTATTGGCCTTAGCCGGGCACAGTGGCACATGTCTGTAATCTCGGTGGCTCAACAGGCTGAGATCGGAGGATCTTGGGTTCAAAGCCAGCCTCGGCATTGGCAAAGTGCTAAGCATCTCAGTGAGATCTGTCTCTAAATAAAATATAAAATAGGGTTGGGGATGTTGCTCAGTGGTTGAGTTCCCTTAAGTTCAATCCCTGGTACAAAAAAAAAAATGAGTTACTGTCCTTGTTCTTGCTCGGAGGATTCATTAGACAAAATAAACATGCAAAATATAGGCAATACTCTTCCAAAAAAATAAGAGTAATTAAGGAAGACTACCAAATAGTAGGACATACTATAAAACTAGGGTAAACACAGTAGTGCAATACCAGTACATGGCCAAAGCAACAGAATAGCACAGAGAATCCAGAAAAAAAGACCCAATTTATTACTCTACATAGTATGCAATGAAGATACCATGGCATATCAGAAGGTAAAGGGTGAATTATTAAATAAATAATTTGGAGACTACTTGGTAGACATCTGGAAAAAGTTTAAGTTGGATCTCTACCTCACTCCTCACACCAAATAAATTTCGATTGGACCAAACAGGTAATTCTTAAAACGAATGAAAGCATCAAAGTGCCGCAAGAAAAAAATAGGATTAAAAAATAGGATCTTGGGGCTGGGATTGTGGCTCAGCAGTAGAGCATTCGCCTAGCACATGCAAGGCCCTGTGTTCGATTCTCAGCACCATATAAAAATAAAATAAAGATATTGTGTCCAACTACAACTAAAAAATAAATAATTTTTAAAAATAGGATCTCATAATTGAGCATGTGTTTCTCTTTTTGTGTTCTGTTTTGTTTTGTTTTGCAGTGCTGGGATCCAATATAGGGCTTTGCACATGCTAGGCAAGTGCTCTTGAGCTATATACCCAGCCCTATAAGTGTTTTTAAACAGAGTAAAAATCCAGATAGCATTTAAGGAAAAGACTAATAAATTCAACTACTATGAAAAGAAAACTTCTTGGCCCAAAATTTAAAAAATAATAATTAAAAAATAAAAAAGCCAAAGAAACAAAAACAAAACAAATCATAAATAAAGCCAACAATAAACTGAGATTACTTGGATAAAAAGCACCTTATATCCAAAGGCCTAATTCCCACCAACAGTAAAGAGTTTCTACAACTCTGTAAGTAAAGACTAACATGTTGCCAACAACAACAAAAACAAGTCTAGGATTTAGTCAAGCAATTCAAAGATAAAAACTACAAATTCCTTTTAAACATATAAAAATATATACTGGTAAAGATCATATATTTATCATACTGGTAAGATTTATACACATCAGAACTACAAAGAGCCAGGCCTGGTGGTGCACACCAAAATCTAGCTACTCAGAGGCTGAGGCAAGGAGGATCACAAGTTTGAGGCCAGTCTTGGCAACTTAAGAGAGATCCTGTCTCAAAATATGTGGCTCAGTAGTAGAGTAACCCTGGGTTCAATCCCCAGTACCAAAACAACAACAACAAATTGTAATAATATCCCTTTAAGTTTGTAAGCTTGGAAAGAGAAAAATAAGATAATACCATCTTTGTGACCAGGGAAGACATTTGATATGTAAGACTGTCTAAACTGTACTCTACGTAACTGTAGCAACCAGGCAATAATTACAAATGCACATAATCTTTTCCTGAGTAATATTCTACTTCTAATAATTTATCCTAATGAAATACACATGTAAGCAAATATGTATAAGGATAATCACAATTTCCAACAGCAAAATCTGAACTATCTAAACATCTAAAAGGAGACAATTAAATTATGGAAATCATACAATGAACTCAAGCAGTCTTTAAAACAGATGTGGGGGGCATCATTATCAGTATCAACAAATAAGGAACAATCTCCTAGACAGATTATTAAGTGAAAAGGCAAAACAGAACAGTTTACACAACATAGCATTTTTGTATCAAAAAAAAAAAAAAAGAGTAGATTATTAAACAACAAGGAAATTATATGCAGAGATTATCTCTGGGAAGTATATTCAAAAAGAAAACAGTTTATCTTTGGAAAAACTAAGAGGTTAAAATGGAGGGAAATCTTTTTTCACTATATAGTTTTTAATCCTTCGGTTTTTATAACACAGCTATATTAGTATCTTTCAAAATAATTTATATATTATTATGTTGTTATATTCCATGGTAAAATTAAAATTAGCATATCATATGACCATTCAAAAGATTAAGATATAACCAAACAGTTATAGTCAATGTCTTGTATTTCAAATAATCGGTCACAATTAATTTTTACCTTGAAATTCAAGTGTAATTCATCAGAAGGTTTAGAAAACATGAAAATTATATAACTGGCTACTCTCCATATCTCTATGCACAATATAACTACATATATAATAAATAATAAATAAAACCACAGAAACCTTGCCAAAGTTGTAAAAACACACACTGCAACTCTAAAATCCAAGCCTCACCTATTGAGATCTGTAATTTATCTTAAGCCATTTTAGAGGCCATAATCAAATATCAAGAATGCAAATGAGGAGTCAGCAAAGGAACAGGATAAAGAGTCAACAAAGGCAAACATGACAAGAGGAAAAACAGGCAAAACTAGACCAGAAAAAAAATGTATAGAAAAGGGAACTGGAGGCAGGCAATGTTATGGTATTTACATGTTTGCATTTCTGAAAAACTGGAAATCTTGGGATTCTGAAAATTCACCAGTTTCTAAAAGAAATTTTCAAAACACTAACAATTTTGAAAATGAGGTCAGTCTATCTATACATATATATATTGTAGTACTAGGGGTGGAACCCAGGGCCTCACACAAGCTAGGCAAGTACCTACCGCTGAACTATATCTCCAAGCCCCCATCTTTTTTAGATTTTGAGACAAGATCTCACAAAGTTCCCAAGCTGACCTTAAATTTCTGGTCCTCCTGTCCCAATTTTCCAAGTAGCTGGGATTACATGCATGAGATACCATACCATATAGACATCTATATTTTTAAGAGCAACCAGGACATTAATAATTATCCTTCAAGGGGCTAAAGATGTAACTCAATGGTAAGACATGTGCTAAGCATGAGTGACAACCTGGGTTGAATCCCCAGTACTGCATAAATGAACAAATAAATAATGATTCTTCAAAACATTTTAAACAACCTACTTTCAATAACTTACTCCCTCATTCCCTGAAGCACACACACATTAGGCAAGCACCTTCTCAACCAAGTTCTGCAAAAGATACTCTACTCAATCAGTCAAGCAGCCTACCTTCAAGGAGCCTAAAGTCAAAAAACCAGGGAAGGCACAACTCAGTTCATAACACAGCCCACTAGAGAGACAGCAAAGCTTAAAAGGATCCAGATAAGTACTTAAGTATTAAATTTATTTCTCTATCAAAGCACGTTTTTACTATATTCTGAACATAAAATAGTCAAGGTCTGAAAATACAAATTAATTCTTCCCTATAGTCAAAAATGTAGGCCAAACATCAGACTTAAATTTAAAAATTGTTATAGCTCATTTCAATACTGAATTATTCTTACTTTCATTATGTCAACAACTTCCTGTTTCACCCGACTTAATTCCTGTTGAAGGCTGATGCGTTCCTCCTCACTTGTTTTTTCAATAGCTTTTATTTGTTCATCCATTTCTGCCTTCATTTTTCTCCGTGCCTCCTCTGTTTTTTGGGCTGTGCTCAAAGCTTTTTCAAGTTCCTCAAAAGCTATAATGAAAAGAGCAGAACACAAGTATCTCAAGAAATACTATCATTAAGCTAAAGTGTTTTGCATTCAATTTACGGAAACTAAGAGCAGCTGTAGCAGGACAGGTTAAAAGACACATAGTTATTCTAAGCCAAGAAATATTTCTGAGCTATTCACAAAGCCACAAGAATTATTCAGTCATTGAAACCTATTTTCACTGAGTTCTGGATTAGGTTAAAACTGCTTATGTAGACTAAGCTCAGAAGTTTGAAAAAATTATATTTTAAAGATTCCCCACTCACCTCACCAGTGTCCTTGTGGAGAACAAATTAAAAGAAACAAAATGTGTTCCTACTTCTATATTATGTAATTTCAAGTGCTTTCTTACTTGTTATACAGTTTTAAATTTATCTTATCATTAGTAATTACATAACACTATTGTATTCTAGGACATTTTTATGAATGAATAAATGATTCTTTGGCAAATCTTATGTGCAAAGTCTTAACCATATAACAAAAGAGCGGGGAGGGGGGGATGCTTCTTTTTAAAAACACGGACTGGGTGAATAACATATTTAAACAATATACTTTTGAGAAGAAGCTCACTACTTTTACAAGTTTAAAACTAGGGCTCTTTTTAGTTGACTAGAAAAAAATTTATTTGATTCAATAGTACAAAAAAAGCACTACAGCAGACAGGTAGTTCTTAAGTGAGATAAGAACAAACTCAGGCCCTAATAGGCATGGTGGCACACACCTGTAATTCCAGGGATTGGGGACACTGAAGCAGGAGGATGGAGAGTTCAAAGCCAGACTCAGCAACTATGCAAGGCCCTAAACAACTCAGTGAGACCCTGTCTCTAAATAAAATATTAAAAAAGAACTGGGAATGTGGTTTGGTGGTTAAGCGCCCTTGGGTTCAATCCCTGGTACCTAAAAAAAAAGAAAGAAATCCCAGGCGCTGCAGAAATCATCATCATCATCTTAGCTAGAGTAAAAAGATCTTTAAGGAAGCCAAATAGATTATGTAGCATTTAACAAAATCAGATGGGATAGGTACAAAACTTGGGTAACTTGAACTCCAAAATATATACATGTGTATGATTATATTTGTATATATATGCATGTACATGTCTGTGCATACATGTGTGTTGTGAATATATATTCAGGCATACATAAACACACTTTATTTGCATAATGACATTCTGTGAAAAATTCTACTGTACTGTCATCCTAGATTACTTCTTTTAGTCATCACAGAATAGAAGTTCCCAGACCTCCCACTACATAGAGATAGACTATAAACCAAACTCAAGTATTCAGAAAGGGTTTTCAATCTCATCAAGAAACATGTTCAGAGGACACAGTTCATTGATATATGCAATATTTTCACTTCCAGTTTTGTAAGAAATGTGGGAACTTCAATGTAGGGCATTCATGGGGAAAAAAGGCCTTTTACTAATAGGGCTTGGCTTAACAGTGGCTTGGGCAAAGATACTACATGCCTAAAGACAAATATCTATCCCAAAGCATTTTTTTAAATGGTAAATTTCATCAGATACAGAAAAAGGAGATAATAACTGGAAACACAACTTAGTGTTCACCAGTTTACAAAAATAACACTTATGACAACCATAAATCTTTGATGTAAAAGCCAAATCTATCCAATTCATTCATTTTACATATCCAAAGTATAAAGCAATGCTAAATAAGGTCTAAATTTCAAAGAGATTAACTGAAATCATTTTTCAAGATTCCCAGTCTAACTTTACTGCCATGTGCCTGCAAACACCATGATCATAATCTTTAGAAATAAATTAAATGTTGGAAAGGAAAATACTTAAAGAAAAATATTTGCTTTATAGTTAAGTTTGCCCCATAATTTCTAGTATCAATTATACAAAAATAATTGACTGTTTGCTACTACCATGAAATGTTTCCTCACTTAAAAATTAGTCAAGTTGGGGCTGGGAATGTGGCTCAAGTGGTAACACACTCGCCTGGCATGCGCGGGGTGCTGGGTTCGATCCTCAGCATCATATAAAAATTAAAAAAAAATAAAGATGTTGTGTCCACCGAAAACTAAAAAATAAATATTAAAAAATTCTCTCTCTCTCTCTTTAAAAAAAAAATCAGACAAGTCAAATGACTGATTATGAGAAAGATTCTGTAACAAGAGTACTTATTGCTCAGTTTGTGCTGATGACTTTTGGAATAACAAAAAAAACTTGGAAAAGTAATGACAAATATTTTATAATGGTTAGATGTCATCAGTACATTTTCATTCAATAAGTCAAACTGTATCTTAGCTTTCTAAGTACATCACAGAAACACCTTAAATCAGACTCTGGAGAATTTTAAGATAGTTTTGATTACCTTCCAAAGTATAAATAAAAAACTTTGGTCAATTAAGCAAAATAAAACAAAACTTTATATAGTGAATAACAAGTAAATTTTCTGTTTTAATTTCAGAATCAAATACAGCATAAAACTAAATGGCCTGGCAATGTGGCTCAGTGTTAGAACACTTGCCTAGCGGGGCTTGGGTTAATCCTTATCACCACAAAAATCAATCAATCAATCAATCAATCCAAAAAACTAAATGTGATATTCTCACCTTTCAAACAAAAAGTCCATGCCATAAATTCCTATTTAGATATAGAATTTTCTACTAAATAAGTTTTCTAAACACAAGCAGTAAATCTTAGAATATTTTGATATCATATTTTAATTTTAGTGTTTAATCCATTAAAACACTTTCCCTAAGTCACCTTATTATCTACTATGTCATGGTTAAAGGAGAACAAATTTCACTTCACAGTTTTTATCATCTAAATTTAACTTTCTGTATGTTATGTCAGAGAACCAAATAATTTCCCACCTAGAAAGAAACCTCTGAAATCTTTAACTCAATATCCTTATTCAAATGAATTTCTGGTACCTCCAAATTTTCCCTCAGATGATAAATAAATTTAAAATAAGACTTGATGGTAGGCTTCCAATTCTCAGCTAAATGCAACATGTTATTCCTCTGACAAAAAAAAAAAAAACTTACTGTTTTCTACCTTTATCGTGATTTAAGGAAATAGCAAGTAAGGCCCCCCCCAAATTAAAGCATGTTACATATATCCTCATATATAAAACATATTTCAAACCCATTATGGATTCTACGCTGCATCACAAATGAAACTACTTCCACACAGAAAGTCAGCCTCCATCAGTGAATCCCATTTCAATGTCTGAGGAGGATAACTGAGAAAGTTCACTTATTAACCAGCAGAAGTATCTCACCTTCTGATCCTGCAACCACCAGACACAAAGTAGAATCTACAGCCTGTAACACTCTACAAGTGAACTGCTACTCTTTCCAAAGTGAAAATATGCTAGGACTGTAATATAAGTACCAAAGAAATATGTTCTGAATGTCTACGGAATTCACCTTTCAATTACCAACAAAAAAAGAAGGCATGCATCAACTGCAGCTGACGAGTCAGCCAACATGCAAGAGTGAGCAGGGAAAACTATGGGCAAGACACATACTGAACAGACAGGAAGGCTAAGCACAAACTGCTGCGGAATGTTGCAAGAACACACTGTGTTCTTCCAAAGCAAAATTCAATGTATCTCAGGCAATTTTTATTTAAACAACAACAACAAAAAGTTGGAAAATACTTCTAGACAAAAACTTAACCAATGTTAATTATGGTCCTCTATCAGTTAAATAAAATGCAGGGGAGGACTTTTATTGCTAACTCCCCATTTTCACTTCAGGTGGGGTTCACTCAAATCCTTGGGAATTATAAAAATGGACGAATTCTCACTTTAAATTTAAACAAGAAGTTGGCAATTTACAGCTCAATAATCTAACAATTCATTCATAGAATATGAACTGGATATTTACCATTCACCAGGTTAGGTTTACGTACACACATAAAATATTTCCCAAAAAGGTAGCTGAACTAGTGAAGGAGGAAGGGAATTAAAAGAAGAAATTCTTAGATAAAGCTAGAAAGAATGTAGCATCATTTTTGCCACTCTACCACCTTTTTTACTTTTCATCCTGAGCATCCTAATCAATTATAATAACAAATGACAGAATTTTGAGGTTCCACATAGCATTATTGTTTTGATGCTCTGACCTAGAGTATACCCTACAATATGGCTAATAGGACCCACTTCAACTTCTATTGCAGGAAATAAACAAAGATGCAGTAGTGTGGAAAGGCTGCCAATCTCTAGATTAACTGCTGATTTTATGTCTAATGACATAAAAAGTAACCCAGTACCTTTATCCTAGCAAAAAAAAAAAAAAAAAAAAAAAAAAAAAAAACCCCTGCTAAAAGCATGTGGCATTAGGCTTTAAAAAACACAGGCATTACCATAAAATAAATAAAATGCAAATTAAAAGAAAAAGGAAAAAAAAAGAATTTTATTAGAATTCCCACCCACTCATCAAGCCTCTTTTGTGAGTTTAAAAAAAAACTAGAGTAGCAGTTCTCAGTGCATGTTCCAAAGATCCTAGGGCACTGGGAACCTTTTAGAGGATCTATGAGGTCCTCCCTTTTCCAAATACATATCTGTGTAGAGTAGATTTTCTCCATATGCTTCAACCAAAGTAATGTAGGTTGAATGTAGAAACATGCATGAAAATCCAGCTGTGTTCTATTAAACCAAACAAAGCAATATACAAAAATGCAAAACAAGGTCCTTCTTCATACTATATTTTATCTTGGAAAATATAGGTATATTTTGTAAAAATATTTATGCTAACATGTAATAGATTTATAACTGCTTCTTTAAATATTTTTTAGTGTCAATAGACCTTTATTTATTTATGTGATGCTGAGAATCGAATCCAGTGCTTCACACATGCTAAACAAGCGCCATACGGCTGAGCCACAACCCCAGCCCCTATAGCTCCTATTTTTAAATGGATTAGACTTTTTAGATTTTTACTTTAATTAGTAATACAAAAAATATCAATATATAAAGCCCACATATATATAGCTCTTTGGTATAG